CGCGAATAAATATCTATATTAGAATTATATTATAAAAGATTAATTAATAAAGATAAATATAAAAGACGATAATAAAATTAAGTAATATTATAAGATTATATTTAAGATTTAATAGTTATATAAAGATAAAGAAGAAGAATACGATTACTTTTAAGATATTAATATTTATATTAACGCTATAAAGTATAATAATTATAATCTCTATTAAGAGTATTTTTACTTTATTTAGAATTTTAAATATAATTTTAAAAAGATAAAGAAAATCGCTATAAAGAAGATAGATTTCTTAAAAAAGATTAAGAATATTTTATTAGAGATTAAGAAATAAATAATATCGTTATTTAATATTAATATAAAACGACTTAAGAAGAATAAAGCCTCGATTTATAAGATAAGATTTAGAATAAAGAATATTATAACTAAAGCTGAATTCTTAAGAAAGATTATTAAGAAGTCGAATTTTAAAAAGTTAAAATTTAAAAATTTAAGTAATAAGATAATAATTAAAAAGAAATTAATTTATTAATTATTTATCTTTAAAGATTTAAATTTAGAGTTAAAAGTTAAGAAAGTAGATATTTATAATAATTACGTATATATAAAAAAGAAGATTAATTTATTAAAGAATATTCTTTTAAGATTATAAAAAAAGCTAATAATACTATTAATAATAATAAAAAGAATTTATAGAATAATTATTTTATTTTTAACTTAGTATAAAAGCGTAATAAAACTTATTAAAGATGTTATAAAACTTTTATTTTTTTTAAATTAAGATAATAAGTAAATTAAAGATAGAAAGGTTGATATTAAGAGTATTAAGAAATATTAAAATATTAATAAATTATTATTAAATAGAATTCTCGATATCTTAAATAAAGCGTAAAAAATCTTTATTAAGAAATACTTAGATTTAGCGATTTTAATATTTATTTATAATAATAATAAAAAGTTTTTTATAGAGTTCGAAGAGTGAAAGAAAAGATTTTTTATTTTTAATTTTATAATTAAAGAAAGCGCTTAATTAAAGAAAACGCTTTATATCTTTTTAGTCTAGCTTAGATTATATATCTTTATATTTAAATCTTTACGAGATAAGAAATATAAACTTTATCGAGATATCTTCACGTTAAATACTTCTACGCTTTCTCTTTTATTACTTTTCAGTGTCTACCTTAGATTCGATATATCTATTTTCACGAGGAGGAACCCGTATATCTTCTTTTCTGCACCTTTATATTTAAACCTTTATGAGATATCTTAATTTCGTCTGAGAAGAAATACCTTCTTTCTTATTTTATATATCTTTACGTTAAATCTTTATAAGATAAGAAAAAGCTTAAGAATAATATAATTTTTCACGAGGGAGGATAACTATTATATTCTTAATATAGCGTGAGAAACCTAACTAGCGTAACTTAATATATCGCTTTCTTTTTTCGATTTCGTTTATAGCTTTAGCTGAATTAATTAATTAATTACAATTAGAATTAAGAAATACCTTTCGCTTCTTCGTGAAACTTCTTTCTAGGAGTATATGTATGCTTCTTACATAGTAACTCTAATAGAAAGTCTTTAAGTAAATTATATATTAAATTTTAACGAATATCTTTATCTATTATAATTATTAATAAAAGATTTCTAATAAAGAGAGAAATCTATTAATTTTTAGAGGGTATAAATCTTTAATATTATAAAACTCAATTTATTATTCAAGTATACGTCGATTTTCTAATTAATATTTAAATATTATAGCGAGAAATCGAATTTTTCGAAATAGATATAAATCTAAAGATTTAATTAATACAAATTTAGATAAAAAAAAATAAAAAAAAACTTACCTAAAGATAGCTAAGGCTCCTTACTATCTATTTCGAGATTTTATTAATTTATAAGATTATAAATTATTTAATTATCTTTATTTTTTAGAAGTAACTAACTTAATATATTGCTAATTACGTTATTAAATATATAGATTATATATTCGATATTATAAATATCTTCGTTATATTAATATTTATAATCGATTTAAAAGATTTAAGCGAGAGATAAATTTATAGCAACTTTATTTATTATAAATCTAATAAGAAATTAATTAAAAAATCGAAAAATCGAAAAATCGAAAAAAGTATAACAATTCAAAAAAAATTCAAAAAAATAAATATATACGATTATATCTTATCTTCGATATTAAAAGATTTTAGAATATAATTTAAAACCCTCGCGAGATACTTAGTACTATAAGGTTCTTCGAGTAATTCTATATTAATAAGTTTAGAAATTAATTTCTAGTCTTTATTAATATAGTAAATTATAATTCTTATAAACTTCTTTTAATTATCGATTATTTAATAATTAAATATAAATAAGAATTTCGATTTGAATTTAGAGTGTATATCGAAGAATTCGAATTTGATAATTTAGAAATTTCGAGTAAAGAGAATCGATAACTTATTTTAAAGAGTTTCGTAGTAAATCTTAGAAGTATTACTATATAAAAGATAAGTATTTTAAATATAATAATATATAAAAAATATAGAAACTTACTTTCGATAATAGAAAAAAAAAAATTTAAAAAATTTCGAACGTAGAGCGTTAAAGATTATATTATTTTTAAGAAAAAAATAAAGTACTTTCTCTTTAAAACCTAAACTTATAAATTACTTATTTAAAGTATTTTTAGATAATCGTTTAGTTAATTAATTATATTAAGTAAATTAATCGAGTAAGATTTATAATTAATTTAATTTAAAAACTATTTTTAAAAATAAAAGTTAATAAAAATATAGATAAAATATAGAAGATAAAGTAAAGATAAATAAATACCTTCTAATAGAGCTCCTTTTTTAGATTCTTTCTTAATTAAAATTATAGAATAATTATTATAATAGTATATAAAGTAATTGCTATAGCGTTTTTAATCGACCTTTTCGATTTTCGAATAGCGATAACGAGTATATTTAATTTATTTCTAAAAAAAGTTAATAATAAATAAAATATATATAATATTATATAAATATCTAACGAGGATTTCCTTCTTAATATAAAAGAAGTTTTTATATAAAAAAGTCGTATTAAAAGAGATATTCTTACTTTTTAATAAAAGATAACTAAAAATTAATTTTATACTTCGAGAAGATTATTATATTAACGAAAATAATATAAATATTAACTCTAAATTTCAGCTATATATATAGCTAAAATCTGGGATAAAAATAATAACTTCGAAAATTAGTTAAAAATATATAGAAAGAGAGAAAAAGGGAGGGACCAGAGCTCTCATATAGGCTTCGCAGTCGATATTAACGTTATATATTACTAAAAATAGAACTCTAAATATATCGATTATTTTTATGAAATTTAGCTTTAAAACGTATTTTTTATTAAAGTTTTTACTTCTATACTCGAATTACTATCAACTTTCTAAATTTTCTAAAAATAAAAAATCTTCTTCTCTTATTTATAATTATAATTATTAATATATTATATAATATTCTATTTTTAAAATACTTAAAAGGCTATATACTAATAGAATTTTTAAGACTTTTTTTCTAAAAATAGAATTTTAAACGATTTTCTAAGAGGTTTCTAAAAATAGTAATATTAAATCATTAAATCAGATTTAGTCTGATTTAATAGTAAAAATCATAATCAGATTATGATTATGAAGTGAAAAATCATAATTAGATTATGATTTTTAAGAAAAAAAATCTGATTTAGTGATTTTTACTACTGAGCTCGTAGGCAGGGTGGGTCTTTGCGCTAATAGCCGACGTATGTTACTGCCATAGCCTCTGAGCCAAGGGTAAGACTGCGAACTGAGGAGAGTTGGGATGAAAGTATCAACTTGTACAACAGACTTTTCGTTTAATTAATCCGCACCCCGAATATTCCCCGCCACACTTACTTAGTTTCTTCTTTTTTTATCAACTCTTTATATAATTATTATAGGATCGACTAATTTTAAACTTAAATTACGATTAAATTGATATTTAGTAATTCTTTTACACTTTTTAAATTTTATTATTAATGTATAGATATTATAAAATACTATAATCTCTAAGACGAAGTCTAGAATTTTAAGATTTCCTCGTAAAAACCGCGAAAATTCGCGTCTTTAAACGCGTAATTATTAAAACTTCTTATTATATAACTTATATACATTCGTTAGTTTTAAAACTTTTATATATAAAACTTATTATATATAATTAATCTCTAAAAGAATCTTAATAATTTTTATATTATAATTTTTATATAATTTATATTATATAATATAATTATTAATAAATACTTTTTTAAAAAGATCGAAATTTTAAATAACGTTAACGTAAATTTCTAAGAATCTAAAGAGATAGAACTTATAAATAAGATCTTAAAAAATAGTTTTATAAATTTTATTATAATCGAATAAGTTTTGACGTTGTAATGTGGATTTGAATACGTTGACTATAGAAATTCTACGCGGGTGCGGATTAATTAAGCGAAAACTCTGTTGTAGTCGCAGCGCATGTCATGTGAACCTGCGCACAATAATCACTGCAACTTTCGCAAATGTTGGCGCAACAGTAATGTGATCCATGCATGAGATGATGGCTAGTAGCCACTGGGTCTCTTGGGTCGGGTGGCCTGGCCAGAATGGCTAACGATGGCCGATTTCCCAAGGTAATCATGCTAAAGCAGTCCCGGGTCAAGTGATAAGAGATGAGCAGTGTCCCAGCTGTAAGCACAAGCCTCGAGGCAGTCCGGTGCACACCGATTGAATTTCTCATCCAGGCTACCGTGACCGGCATCGATCGCTGGATAGTTTTGTGCCAAAAGGATGGATTTATGGGTCATGCTGCAGCACCTCCGTTGTCAGATATTGCGAGGCCTAGTCACTCCTTCCATGCCCTGGTCGATAACAAGGAGCCTTGCTCCCTCGAGTGCCGACTCAGTGTCTCATGAATTCCTTGACAGTCAATCAATTTCATCTCCTTATATCGATTACCTATCCTTTCCCTATGGCTCGAACACTCATCGCAAGCGATAATCTCTCCCCTCTGGTGTTGATTATAACATGGTTTCTGTGCATAATCTCGGTCTTGAGCATGGTGGCCCGAGGTGCTACTAAAGTCATCTCCACTCGCTCGATAAAGTCTGATGACTATTCGAGTCTCTCATCACTGGTGATCTCATTGCTCAGTCCAAGACGGCTGTTAGAAATTGCTAACCTGAACGATTATTTTTTATCAAGTTTCTCGCGATTGCTCAGTCCGTTGCTGTCACCGTCCGAACCTCAAATGGGCTGGGCAAACATACCACCGCCTTGGGCGCTGCCCAAATCTCCGCCTATTCAGAGGTGAGCTCATCTTTCACCAATTGTACCAATTGGATCCACACTGATCTGGATCATAGGCTACATACGCTGCCAACATACTGTACATAAGTAGCATGTGCCTTTCTGAGCTCTCAGTAGTCCTGTTCCTTGGACACATCACCCCAGTGCGACAAGACAGGCAATTGCTTCTCGGTGCGGGAAGCGTTACGATCCTTTGGACTGTCACGGCATTTATAGTCAGTGCTGCCGAATGTGGTTCGCCAACGCCATGGGACTACTTCAGTGGCCAATGCATCAATCGCGTTGGTTTTTCCCTCTTCCGGCTTCCACGACATTGCTCGGAAAGCCGCTAAGTTAGATTCTAGGTCATGTGGTGGAACTGCGTCGAAGTTATGAACATCTTGATCAACGTCGCTCTGATCGCCCTGCCAGTGTGGATTCTATCCAAGGTGCAGGTCTCCCTTCTCAAGAAATCCTCTGTGGGGTTGGCCTTCGCACTGCGGATTACGTGAATGCCCCTCGGAATGAATGGGATTTCTTCAGTGATGCTTACGGGACTACCAGGGTCTGTATCGCCTCGATCTGTAACCTTGTCTACTGGAACAGAGCTCGAGACTCCCACGATCTGACCTTCGAAATTTGGCCCGTCGCACTTTGCACGCAAGCGGGCCAATGCATGAGCATAGCGTCCTTCTCTTTTCTCTATCTCAAGCCCCTCTTCGAGATCCTTGACTCCGGCTTTATCAGGAGCGATGAGTTCCGGCGAACGGGACAGTTAAATCCAGAAGGCTCATACAATCTCTCCACCATGAGTTCTGGAAACGAGAGGAGAAAAAAGGGCAAAGAACTGGCGAGGCTGGCCCGGACAGGGAATAATGACACCACCATTACCGCTCTTGAGAACGGGTCCGGATGGGATGGTGGGAGCCAAGGCAGTGAAGCGCACATCATCAAAGAGACTCGGACATTCACGATTGAGAGTTCAGCGGCCGGAGAAGATCGGGGGTTCCCTTAGTTGGGTTCGTGGCGCATTGTTTGTTTGTCCCTTGTCCCCGGGGTTGATTCCCGCATTGTTGGCTGCATGACGATGCATTTGCCCCCACCTCCCCTTTCCCCACCCCAGGTAAAACTTAATGAACGCACAAAACGAACCTAGTCTTGATCCTTTCGTAACCCATTCTCTTTCCTAAATACTCCCAGTCTTTCCTACAACTGCCACCCACAAAACAAACGTCCCATGACTTCCAAGTCTACCAAAATGATCCCAAAAATCCCATGCTCCTTTAGCATCTTGAGTTATTCACGCTTGAAATTCAAGCTGGAAGAGAATTGCCATCTCTTAAAGCCATCGAACAATAAATACTGTGTATACAACGAAGACGTCACGGTCATGGTCTGACTTTCCTCCAACCCTTTCCCTCATATTCGCCCCTTCACCCAGCCCATCTACCTTACAGTATTTCCACAAAAAAAAACCATCTCTGCTTCCCGACTCACATGCGACCATGGCGGCGAGGTCATGAACAGGCGATGCTGCGTTTGTGCGGACAGCGAAAGACTACCCTTGTCTTGGCAGGTAGTATAGATCTCAAGGAGCATCAAAAACCCGTTGCTTTCACAGCACAACTCAACAATCAAGCAACCTACAGCAACATTGCGAACATCATGACTTTCATTCTCAAGCAGATCCAACGATACAGAACTTAATCGTAAACCTATCTAATCAAAAAGTCACAGCGTCGCAAAGGAAAAAACCACCTACCAAGAGAACCTCCCACCAACCTGCCAACCCCATGGAAATCCCAAGAAAACCGTTCAGCATCCCTGACCCATTCGAGTTTCCAAACCGTGACAGTTCCGAGCGACGCAACCCAAACACGTAGGCTCAAAATCCCGCACGTTCGACGAACGAATTCAGCGGCCGGAATCATGCTCGAAGCTGTGGTGTCAGCTCATGTACTGCTGCGAGACGATTTCGCTTCCTTGTCGCACGGTCGCATCCTCTCCATCCCACACGAGAAAAGGGCTCCCGTACAAAAAAACGTCGCCGGGGGAGCCCTGTGGCTCTACTCGGAAGGCGGTCTTGTGGCGCTTTGCTGCTCCTGCGATTCGGGATGTGAGGGTGTTTCCAGCTGTGTGGAGCCGATCGACTAAACGGTGCTCGAATTGGGACAACGGGGATTGTCCGTTGGCTCCGTATGTTGCTAGACGCTGGCAAGGGCGGCCGTGGGTGTACCGGCATGAAAGTTCTGGACTGGTGCGGCGATAATGCCACCGTAATCCAAGAAGAATTTTTCGGCTGTTGGTCAAAAGGGCTCTTGTACTCTGAGTGGAGGAGGTGGTTCACTGTGGTGAGTCCACCGTGACGTTTTTGGGAATCATTTGATGTGTTTTGCAAATCCGGACATGTATAAGCTGCGACCTGATCATTCAATACGTGAAGAACATCTGGCTTACTGTCTAGTGTCATTGGTGTGTTTGATCGGGATATGTATCTATTCCCAGCGATTCTCCATAAACGCAAGTCCTAGGAATTGGTGTATCTATTGGAACCTTTTTAGCATTAACTAATTCAAGGGCCGTGCAGGGGCTTCTTACTTCCAGGCATTCGGCAGACATAGGTTCGTGTGTAATGACGATTTTGTCGAAGTTCGTCGGGCCAAAAAAAAAAACAAATTGTGATTATCCCAGCTGATGAGAAAGACGCCATCATCCGCTAGGTCCAGGCTTCCGGTATTGGTTCTTGGATCTTTCAAGTTCCCATGGAGTTTACGAACCTTCTCCATGTTCCATCAAGTACGAATCGATTAAGCCATTACTCCCGATCTGGACGCATTTTTGAGTGTACTGTCGAAATCAGGTTCCCAGCCTCCTCCCAGCCACCTGTTGGAACAACCACCTGATTTGTGAGGGGTACAAATACTGGCCCAGGGGAGTCTTGAGATCGAATACTTCATGCGACCTACACACCACTCTTCCTACCCTACCTGAATTTTGACATGTACAAGGCCTCGGACTCTTGGACGGTTAACAAGTTCTTTGGATGATTCATGATGTTGAGCATAGCAACAGGGAATGAGCGAGGATATGTCCGAGATCTCATGTCGTCAGGCGAGGAACAGCGTCTCACCCAAAAGCACGGGGCGAGACTCCCTTTGGAAAGAAATGACTGCAATCTCCCTTGTCGGAACATTTTATACTTGATGCGAGTAGGGAGGGAGAGGATTTGCAGATGACGTTCCTCAAGTGAGTCGAAGTACCCTTGGAGTGAAGGCACGAGGGGGGTACTGATTGAAACGTGATGTTTGGTGGAGGATGAGTCTGGACATTTGATTTTTCAAAGATTGCTCGTATGAGAGTCTCGAAAGAGATGAGTGATTGTGCGAGCATGAGTGCGAAAGACGGAAGATATTTTCGGGTGGCTGCGGTCTTGGCAACGGTCGCGCTGAATGTTGAATCTAGAAGAAGAGAACTTCAGAGAAATTGCATAGGGTCTTCTTTGAAGGGTCTTTCTATGTAGAACAGTTTATAAGACTGTCAGAATCTAGATCAGTGGTTGGGGCTAAATCAATGTTCATTGTACAGCTTCGAAGGTGAGTGGAAGAAATAGTTTGAGTTACGAAAAGATATTACAGGTATAAAAGAGCGTACGCACAGACAATGAAGAACTCTTCAACGCTAACTTTCGGCTGACTCTACCGTCTTTCTAAGTCTTCCATACCGCCGCCTCTTCGGGGACGCTGAAACGAGGGACCTGGGTCCTAGTGTATTCAGCCTGAGAGGAGGAGCAATCACCTCCTAAGTCCTGAAAGATGCGCGTTTGGGAAAAGCCTAGCGAGTGTCTTGGTAGAAAGCTTCGAATACATTGTAACAGATCGATTGGCCAAGTCTTTCTGACAAGGGACTGCAACGCTGGCAGATAGGCAACGATAATCGCGAGACCTATCTCGAGCATTCCCCAGTAGAGGAATCGGGATGTGAAGACTGTCATCGGTTAAGTAAGCGTGCAGGTATGAAGGGATTGGGAGTTACAGTCGGGGTCGTCGAAAACTAGAGGCGCTATTGTTCAGCTCAGTAGAAGTCGAAAAATGAAGACATCGGCTTACATGCTCCGCTGAAGAACAGTCAGAAGTCAAGTACCATTTGAATGAATGAAGCTACTATAGCCCTTCAAGTATCAGTATCCTTGAGTTCCTTTTTTGGTGGCGTTAAGCCGACAACTCCCAGAGTCCCGAGAAGGAAAATGCCGATGACACTGACTCGCCTTCCCATTGGCATTTGCATCTTCCAGGTCTGAAATTGCTGTCAGCATTGTTAGACACAGCGATCAGTGCATTAAAACGAGTATCATACCAAAGGCAGGATTGCATGAATAAGGTCAAGAATGGCGCCTGAGATGACATAGACGATTGTCATAGGCATAGGGTTGAGACATTAGAGACCCGCGGCCATCACAGGAATCCAATTTCTGCTAGAATTGATGCCGCATATGAGGCCGAAAGCGAGACAGAAAGCCCTGCTCCATAATGCGGGAATGACAAGCATAATTCTAGTCGTCAGATCGAACGAAGGGATCGCTGATTCCCATACCCACGCAGAAGATGCGGCGGTAGGAGAATACGATACTACATTCGACGAAGCCCAGAGCCAGCGGAGCCAGGGTCTGAAAGATATACGGTGTCCTTGAGCTATCAGTCTTGCCTTCATGAACAAGTCAAGATGGGACTCTCCTACTTTTTCAGCTAAAGATTGCGCGGTGAGAGTTGACGCCTCGAAGCTCGACGCGTGTTCAATAGCTGAAGACGGGGTTGGGTACCCTATAGAGCCTTTCCTTTGACATCTGAAGCTCGGAGACTATCAGAACGTGTATGATAGACTACGCCCGCTGCTGATACTGGCCGGCTATGATACTGGCGCCCAATCCAATGTTCAGGATCTAGATCGTGGTACAAGGACATGTATGACTGAGCTGGCGTTCGAGTTTCATACCAACCCGGGGAGTATGAGCCTGGAAAAGTATCAGATCAGAATCATTACAATAGCAGAGGATTCGAATAGAAGTGCCAGTCATCCATTGCAAGTTTGGCTTTCTGCAATTGCCTTGCGCGGAAACGGAGAGTCACAATAATGATGCCGAGCAAGGGGAACACGGTGCCAAGCGCAGACATTGATTAAGGAGTGCAATCACTCATTCCGTCGAGTGGGGGTTTGCTAAAATTCAGATTTCTGGATAGACACGTTGGGACTTCCAAGGACTCTGGCTTGCAATAGCCTCAAAAAGCGCGTAGGTATGAATCAAACATGAAGGAACAGGAAGGTCTCAAAACGGGAAACAGCGTTTCTTGAGGGTTTGGCAAATACTGCAGGTTGACGATCACGTGCGGCCGAGGTTGAATCACGAGCTAATCAAATTTCAGCAGTTCAGAAAGTACTGTACAACTCGCCTCGATTTTGGAGGAAACTGTATGGGCTTGCCGGGCGTACCGAGGGTCTCTGTCTGTGAGAACCAGTGAAAGGATGTAAGAGAATTCGTTCAGTATTTGACATTCAAAATTTGGCTTCTCTGGGATCATGCACATCATTATCTGATTGGTGCGTAATTTGGCCCTCGGCTGCAAGAGGAACAGTCAGCAGCGAGATCGTCAGCATGAATCAACGCGCGCACGCGATAAGCATTCAGTTCTATATCAACTTACCAATAGCTGTGCTGCGATCTTGCGTGCGCTTCAAGCTAATGATGCTGCCGACCGGGCCAAAGATTTGTGTGTGCAGTGTTAGCGCTGACCTTGCGCGTACGTACCTGCTTGTAACTCTACTCAGCCTTAAACGACGAAAGGTCCATTGATCGTTCCGGTTGTCATGTTCGGGAACGTGCTCGCTCTTGGGGTCGGTGGTGTCGGTACTGGCGCTGGTCAGGAAGGCCGCCAGCTCAGCGGGGCTTATTTCCGTAAATGATTGGCTTGTGTTGATCAACGAGGGGAGATAGCTAAGCTGGGCCATTCCCTGTACAACGGCCTGAGGGAAAGGCGGTTCGAGCGCGCAGACATAGAACGCCAACAACGAGATAATGCTGATAGGGAGCATCTCGATGGGATGGATGAGAAGAAGACGGTCTCGTATAGATGAGATGAGAAAAGGGGAAGAATACCGTCCATGTGTACAAAATCACTAGTACAAGATAATGCAGATCAACCAGGACCAGACTAGAAATACGCGCAGAAATTTTCCCCATATGCAAGGTTATCAGGCCTTCCGTAGCGGAAGCGTTCTATGTTTGTTGACTTGGGCTACCGACGTTGGAGAAACGGAGTGACGACCAAATACTACTGTTTCGTCGAGGTTATTCAAAGTTGCTGTGATGGCGCTACCATTTCGCGTGTATCTGCCCAATTTGACCCAGGCACTCCCGATTCTTTATCCAGTTGGGAGATAATCTTTTAATACACGTCCAGAAGGATCCAACTGCTCACCATCTCCGATGGCAAAAGCCGGCAGTGGCATTGAAATAGGAGTCCTTGGCATACCAAATGCTATTGACGCATGTTGACCATACACGAAAACACCGAGAGAATTACCGAGGCCTATCCACAGCGTCAACCAACAGTAATCCGAAGCTCTCAGATCAGAGTTATGAGCACCAGGAGACGTACCAGTAACCGCATACCCAACCTGTCGTTCAGGTGGTCCATACAAACAGTGCATCCAGATCTCAGAGAGCGCATTGCGAATGTCGTAGAAAGTTGCGACATCCGTAATACGATATCGGGCAGGCCTCACATATCTCTGGGGTACGATATCCATGTCGACAACAGTAATGGTGCAGACGAAATTTGTGCCTATGACTTCGATGAGCTTCAGAGACCTGGTAGCGGTAAAGGGAACCCACCGGCGGTGTACTTTATCGGTGTTCGTATTACTTCCAAGCCGTGCGTTCCCCTCCGCCAGCGAGGTGCAAACTCGAGGGCTCTGCTGCCGTAATTGTTGATGTCTGCTTGCAGCAAGTTGGTCGCTATTCTGCAGTTGTTGATGAAGTCGTCGGGGATCGGTTTTTCGAATCCAAGCCAGGAGGCGACGCTGGCCGAACATGATGTAAAGATGTTTGACGTGTCACCAATGATGGAGATGTTTGGGGTTGAGGTGCTGTTGACAACGTTTGCTGGCAGAGTGCTGTTGAATGGGAGATTTGTAGCAATGCATGTCTGAAAACTGGAAGGAATGACAACGCTTGATATGAAAAAAGCCCAGAGAGGGTTCATGTTTTATTCGTCGCCTTGAGTATGATCATGAGATTAGATGCATCGGGAGATGAGTCTATCCAGATGTGAAAAATAGAGTTATAGGTGAGCAGTTCGCGTAGCGGCAGAGCGCAAGTCGACAATGCAGTCCATGCGAACGTCTGTCCCCAGAAACGTTCGGGACTGCGCCACAGGATGTCTCTTTCAACAGTCGAAGCGATGCTCGAGATATGATGTAGCCCAGCTTCCTCGGCTTTAGGGCAGGAAGCGCAATCTCTTCTGAGAGGTTCTCGAGGCTGTGTCACATAGCCGAACCGCCGCAGCAGTGTTTGCAATCATATTGAACTACTGTCAAGTCCACAGGACCATATCATAGCTACATAAATTTGCTGGTCTCGGGGTTTAGTATCTATCATGTACTGGCTAAGTTGTCTCTCATCGTTCTTGCTTCAACGATAGGATCAAAGTCCGTCTTCCCTAGGACGTAGTTCTGCACTTCTAGGTCGACCTCATTGTCATCACAATCGTTCAGGACGAAATGCTTGAGTCGTAGAAATTTTACCTGCCTCAATCGAGTGAGTAGCGACGACCAATTGCCATCTAGCAGTGTCATCCAGCCAAGCCGAATCTCGACCAGGGTGGCTGCGTGGCTGCGAAAGAAATGAACCATGTCATTTGCCTCGGACGCGTAGTTGTAAACGTCCAGCTTCTGCAGACGTTGCAACTTGCTTGAACCGAATGCGCTTATCAAAGACGGCATTTTCCCTGAAACCTTGTCACTGATCTCGCCTAGGGTGACTTTCTCGAGGTTTGGGCTGAGCCCTATGATTTGACGTATCGCCGTCATTGTTTCGTTCAACTCCTCTCCATGGTCGGAATTTGTCTCGATTGATGAGATCTCCAATGAACGTAATTCTCTCAAGGTCTTCCTGCCTTTAGGCTCGTCCGCGAGATAGAACGTGTTCAACAGGGCTTCTGAAGATATTGTTCTAGGATGGTTTCTTCCACCGTCTCGTGCAGAGCTTAAAGATTCAAGCAGGGAACATCTGGTGCCGAATCCTTGGAGATCCTGCCTGAAGTCTTCATGTTCTCCAAGCTTGAAGGTCTTGATGTTTGCTTTGGAAGCTATCATGGCCCCAAAGATCAAGGGAAGCAGGTGTTCGCAGTCGTACGTCAGTGACAGTCCAGCCTTCAGTGTTCCGAACGCGGTCATCAACTCCAAACAACCAATGCTGAAGTTCAAGAAGTCAACCGTGATACTCGAGAGCTGTGGTAGTCTTCTCATCCCCTCGATGAGGATTTGAGAGTCGATACCCTGTGAGGACAGACGGCGTTGTGTCTCAATGGAGCTTTTGTAGGCAGCTATGTGCCCTGCTGAGGTCAAAGTTTGAGAGTCTTCCCAAGAGGACCCGTGGCTGGGCAAACGGCGTATTTGATCAAGATACTGATCCGCGCTCCCATGGTCGATGAACCGCAATGGTGAGAACACAATCTCCTTGACATATTGGGATAGCTGGTGGTGCTCTGAGATAGCTTTGAATTGCTCCAAGCTTTTGAGGCCAAGCCACACAGGGATCGTATGGAATAGCGAAGATGCAGCTGCTGTAGCAAATGTTTTGCTGACAAGTCGTACACGGAGCAGATCTTGCCTTGGCAGAGTACTCACGATGTCATAAAGCAACTCGCCGGGAAATTTCTCGAGCGGAGAGAACGACAGTAACTGGTAGACGTGCATCTTTAGTGATGAATGAGCTGTGATGAGCAAGAAGGTCCAGGAGGATAATTGAGATTTGTGATCCAGGGGGGCTGAGCAAGTTAAGAAGGAGGCTAGTGAAGATGGTGCTGGCGCATGGAAGCTTCCATGTCTCAGGTCGGTTGAACACTTTCTTACGCTTGGTACTGATTGGGCCTCCGTATCGGGCTAATTCTCATTACTGTGGTAAACGTGCGTCGAACGTTCCCCTCTGTCTGAGTCTCTTGAGGAGGATGGATTTGGGCCTGAATGTCTCACTGAATGTCTCACGGCCTGGAGTAATACAGAGCTGTCAGTGCTGAATCACTAGGTAGACTCTCACTTGATATGAGAGGAATCAGATAGACAGATATATGAACGCATTCCTTATCCTTGGGTAATCGTGCCGTACTATTCCCATTCGTGTCATTTATACCTCGTAGGCATGTATGTGTACTGGCACAATGGGAAAAGCGAGATCCAGGGGACGTCCTCGGTACGAACATGCGGGAGGATTGCATCCACTCGGGCATTCTTATTGTTACAGTCCCTCCGCAGAAGTATTTGTCCGTTACTCTACCCGTTCTAGGGCAAACCCTGTACTTCGTACGCTTGTATTGTCACCACTGAACCGTACGAGTATCTTGAGATCCTGCAAAGTTGGTGTAGCTCAGGTTCTTAAAGCGTGTAACTTTCCATCAACCCGGACTCTGAGCATTAATGATACGTCGATATCGTGCTGCGTAGTGTAATATGCGACCCGCAGAGAAAATCGTAGATTTCCCCACGAACTTCGCATAGATTTCGAAGCCCAAACTTCATCCGCCCTAGGATTCATCACGCGAAACCCTTTTTCCAAGATCGCAAGAGTAGAATATATAAAGTGTACGGTTTCGTTCTAGATTTGAAGTATTCGGAAAGTTTTGTGAACCGGAAAAATCCAAGGGGTACCGGATAAACTCTGGTGGTGGTGGTAGTGGTAGTAATACTTCAGAATTGAACCGTCTGCCTCTCGGTTCATTTCCGCCTCTCCTTCTCCTTCCCGAGTAAACTCCTAGCAGGCTCGCGCAGCCAGATCTCCGGACCCGTAGCACCGTTGCCAGCTCTCTCCACTATGACTTCAACCTGCTTGGCAACTGTCCGGTTCGAGCTCACCGTAGTCATACTTTGCATCCACCCGTACATGAAAACACTGCGATTGATATCCGTCAATTGCTCGGCCACTTGCAACGCGACAGGCGGTAGTGTGCCTCTTTGTATCGCGTTCTCAAGATCATACTCGGAGACCTCAGCTTGAACAATGCGAATGGGTAGGCCCAAGGAAGATGGAATAGCGTAGTCGCTGTACTTAGCGAACGCTTCTCTCAAATCATTCCCCGACCGTGCTGGCCCATCCCCTATCAGCAATACTGTCCTCGCTTTCTCGTTTGGCATTCCAATGGTGTCCACAATCTCCTTCATTCGCTTGGCTGCTTCGTGCGTGCATACTAGATCTTTATTCGCCATGGCTGGCCAGAGGCTTGAGGGCAGAAGGTGTTCCCGGGTTTCCATTTCAATTTGCCGTGTTATCGCTGAATTGTAGTTGGGCAGAATTGGATGATTGGCTGTGTGGGATAAGTCGGAGACGAGGGCGAGTAGTATCGTGCAGTCGATGTTTAAAGTGTCCGTCAAGGGCGGGTGGGGAGATGGCAAGAGACGAGGAAAAGCGCTTTCCTTGAACAGTACATTTGAAGCGCTCTGATCTCCAAGGTCAATGACTGCACCGGTTGACCGAATACGTTCAAGTACCGGCATCAGCTCTGGTGGAGGACTAGACGAAATTTTTGGGAGGACGAAACGAATCCTAGGGTGCTTGTAGTGGATTCGGTGGGCCTGAGATGCGCGAAGCAGGTCATTTGCTACCCTCATCAGTTCTACTCGATCAACATCATCTTCGTCGGAGGTGCTGTTGCCATTCTCTTGTTCTTTATCCTCGCTGGACGAGTCTGCCGCTTCCCACTTTGCTTTGGCGATCTCCATTGAGAGACGGTTTCCTGTAACAGTAGACACTTTAATCCACTCTTCACCGTCGTGGGCCACTATATCCACCAATGCACACCTCTTCTCCGCTGCTTTCTTGCTGTCTCTTGTAGGTCGATTATCCCAATAGAATCGTTTGCCGAATGTCACTAGAGCTTTGCTTGCTTTCGCAGCGTCCCAAATGGCAGCATAGAATGGCAGGTTTGAGGAGCGAAGTGTATGTATAGTTTTCTCGGCTGTGAGATCTGCGTATGCGAGCTTCTGTAGAGACTTATGCTCGGTCGCTACCGATGTCTGGAACTTGTGTATGTCGACTGCAGGTTCTTGCTCTAATCTTTGCTCGGCCACGAATTTTTGGAAGTCCTCAAGCTCGTTGACGAGGCTTTGGCATCTCGCGAGCAGGTCCTCGACAAGAGAACTTCCCTCTGTACTCGCTGCTTCTGTAGTTGCGGAGCCATTCGTGATGCTTGATACCACGCCACCAACGCTCTCCGCATCGGAATCGTAGTCCTCGGCCATATTGACACCAGTGTTCAGTCGTCTTCGAAGAATTGGTCGTCTCAGGCCCCACGAGACTGCCAAATTCACGGCCCTAAACGCCGACGTAGACTACTCTATCTCCGGCCTCCCACATTTGACCTGTGATGAGGAAGGCATCTTTACAGTCACAGACTACTTCAAGACGCACCATGCCCTACCTCGCCACCGCTCAATCATACCTGGAGCAATCCACCCTCCTGATATCCGCGCGCCCCACCACCGTACGTCCTTCTCCTTTCTATGCCCATCAATCTACCTATTGACCAACCCTGTCCTCGCAGACCCGAATAACAACTAAATACACAATCTCCAGACCTAAGCCTTCTCCCTCACCCTCGAAATCAACGTCTTCTCCCCCACCAAAATCCGAGCCTTCGGAACACCAAGTCCCATCACACCAGATTCAGGCGCCCAAAGCGACGCTTACGCTTAAATCATACGATCCAGTATCAGGCACATGTCTAAAATATAAGACTGATAAGGCGGCGGAAGTGGGGCGGCTGGTGGCGAGTTTAGGAAATTGTGGGAGGGTTATGGCTGCGTTACCAGCGAGGGAGCAGACGGAGGTCAAGGAGGAACCAGGAGAGGAGATGGAGGGTGTGGTTGCTGTAAAGCTGGAGGATACGAAAGTCCCTACGAGTAAGGGTGGAGCTAAAGGTGGGCAAGCGCAAGGGAAAGGTGGAGGTGGAGAGAAAGGAGGAGGTGGTGGGGGCGGCGGTGGGAAGAAGAAGAAAGGGAAGAAGTGATGGGGATTTGGACAACTGTATTGTTGGCGATCTTTGCCATTCGATTGGAGCATGTATATTGTAAATACGATCTGTTCTAACCGAGGGCTGGTTACCAAAAGCATCGTAGATACCCAGCCATACCAAACGCCTTTGCTCGATGCTTGGTATCCATCAAGTAACGCTTTGAACATACTCGAAAAGAAATGATTTCCTGACACATCTCTCGCTACCGAAACCTCTCCGTTAGTCATTCTTTCCCGTCAACCTCTTGTGTTCGGCCGAGTTTCGTGGAGATTCATCGTCGTCGGACCACTTATCCCCGTCCTCTCCCACTGCGAATATGGTCTCGCCATCTAATGACTGCCGTTGGTGATGGCTGTCATTCATTGGTTTAGGAGGCATGGGTGATAGTGCTCCATCACCATTCTCCATTGCATCTGGCGATCGAGCGTCTTCCTCGTCTAATGAGCCACCAAAGGAAGCAATTTCGAAGCCCTCATCATCTTGGGCAAGCTGCAGACCGGTCAGCATGAACGGATGGAATATCATCGCCGACTAATTACCTCGTCGCTCATAGCAAATCTTCGGTTGTTCGCCGTCGGCCTCCACAGGTAAGCGACATAGGCTATATCCACCAGGTACACCAGATTCAGCCATCCATCGAGGATGAACCACCTTGTCTTCCAGTGGTCCGGCACGAAATTTGGATCGCTTCTTCCAGCGAAGGTGAATGAGTTGAGGAAAAAGAAGGCGAAAATGACCACGATACTACCCAATATGCACCACCAGAGCTTCTTGTACATCATTGCCTTGACACTCTGTTTCCTCTCGAGCAGATCCTTCATCGTCAGGTTCAAAGAGTTTAGCGTCCAAACGTAGAAGGCCGTTAGAGTCGCTGCCAAAGGTAAGATGACCAGAAGGACAAGAGGCCCCGCGTTATCTGGCGTAATCGTCAAGCTCGCAACGGCGTAGATGACTCCAAAGACGAAGTGTGTCAGAGCCAGAACGCGGACATACCACATCGTCTTACCGAGACTAGGTTTGACAACACCGTAACCCATGCAGACTATGAGAAGCAGGAAGAAGGAGAAAGAATTCCTGCCAGCATTGAGTATGGCGACGATTATCATCAGACATTTCGCCAGCGCGTTATTCCCATGGTTATTGGAGTAGTCTAGGAGCATCAGTCCGCAACGAAGACAACACAATGGGGTAAGCATACCATAGAAACCCCATGTCATCAGTTGCTCGACTATAAGGAATACGATGATTGCCGTGATATAGTTCTGGACGGGTACTACCCACTGTCAGCTGCTGCAACTCGAGTGATACGCATGCTTAAACTTACATATATCGTGACGGTTCTGAACATAGAGAAAGCCCCAAAATCTGTTTCCCGTGAGTAAAGCTGCAGCACAAACGTGTTGCTAGACCACATACATCGACATAACGGCATAGACAATTGTGAGACCCCCATAGAAAGGTAGCTTCGCAATCTGGGCAGCTTGCAACTCTCCGTATGCATTCCTGAACTCGACAACCGCTTTGTAATCTTCCGCAGAGAATCCGTAGGTTCCAACACAATAGTACCCTGTCCTCTTGACTGGGTAATTCACTGGCTGGGGATCCTTCAGGTGGACCGACTGGGTAGTGATCGGGTTTTTCGATGCTTCCGACGCGTTGGAACTTAATATGAATTCCCCAATCTGTGAAGCC